CCGGTCAGGATCGAACTCCCGGCTATGGGCAGAGTTACCCTGCAATACTGCATTCTAACCACTGCATTACCAGGGCTCTCAAATTTTAATCATTAACTGTTAATTTGTAGGCGGCCCTGTTCCCTATACCTTAAGTGTATATTGGAAAGACAGAAAAGATGCTTATAGTGGAGGAGTAGACAAGCTCTCCCAGAAGGAGCGGTGCAGTTAAGATGCTGAGCTTGTCAGCTGGAAAGTCAACAGCCCAGGTTCAAGACTCAAGTGCCACAAGACTGGATGAGTTCCCATCCTCACTCCAGTTCCTGGTCATTTAGCAGTTAGAAAGCATGCAAATGGGAGTAGATAAATAGGTACCACTTCCGTGGGAAGGTAACAGCGCTCTGTGACATCATGCTGGCCACAGGACCAGGGAAATATCTTTGGACAGCGCTGGCTCAATGGCCTTGAAACGGAGAAGAGCATGGAGTAAAATCCTCAGGGACTCCTTACCCACAAGGAAAGACCTGTAGAACTGTGCTCAGTCTGGAAACTAGCTACCGTAGGGAGTTTTCCACCCATTTACTCTCATAGTATAAAAATTCAGGGTCATCCATTAAAATTTACTCAGGGTTATCCATTTAACCTTAATGTGGGAAGATTCACGTTACTACATACCTAGAGAAGACTATATCTTCAGCTCAGGGTTGAACTGTGGAGCCCCGGTGCTCTCTGAGCTTCGTTGTTTCCTTGCAGACATTCTATTTTCCAGTTAGGTAACATGTTGAATGCATTGTTATTTGAAGTACACAACTAGAAGGGTGGGGGGACAGAAAGAACATTAATAAAAGGAAATTTTGGGGAAAGAAACTTGTGGAAGGAGGGGAATGAAATTTCAACATAGTATTAAACCAGAGCTGGGCATTTTATGACCTCTGAGCCGTATCTGGCCCTTTGGCTGTTTCTCTCCAGCCCAAATGAATTTCTTTTATTTTGAAGAAGACTGCTACTTTTTCCCCCCAATGTACATATGTGCAGGCATCCTTGCCTATGCACCTTCACAGCCCTATTGGTTGGGCCCTCCACAACAGCCCCAGTTTCCGATGTGACCCCTTGGGAAAATTAATTGCCCACCCCTGTGTTAAACAGCGGCCACCAAATTCAGCGATGGCCACCAATTTATCTGGTTTAAAAAAGAACTGTCCACGGCGAGCTACTAGTTTAGAGAAGATGGTCTCTTGTCCCAGAGGCAGCATGTCTGTTATTTATGTGGGTTATGATAGACTTTCTTTCATCTTTCTTGGGTAGGTCAGTCCCTACCCAAGGGACACAGAATGCTGGGTTAAATACTAAATATTCTCTGTGTTGCCCAGCTTAATTCTCCTGTGTTCTTTGGGGATGTATCTGAGAGGTAGATCCTGGATTCACATCTCAGAAGGTCCATAAAATTCAGCACTGTGCAGCTATTAAAAGAAAAACAGATATCTGGCCCCATTTCTCTCTGCTGGAACATCATTGAAAGAGACCAATGCGCTGAAGAGCTCCCAAAATCCTTTAAAATTGAAAGGGAACTGATGAAAATGTATTTAGGTTGATGTCAGGGAGCAGAGAGAAAAATGTGAGCATATGTGAAGAAGGAAAAGAAAAGAAAAGAGGAAGAAAAGAAAAAGGGGGAAGAGGAAGAAGGGAGATAGGTGAGGAAAAAAGGAAGGAAGGATTAAAGCACCTGAAGGCAGGACAAGAAGCAATGGATGGAAACTAATCAAGGAGAGAAGCAACCTAGAATTAAGAAGAAATTTCCTGACAGTTAGAAGAATTAACCGATAGAATGGCTTGCCGTCAAAAGTTGTGGGTGCTCCATCACTGGAGGTTTTTAAGAAGAGATTGGACAGCCATTTGTCCAGAAGGGTATAAGGTCTCCTGCTTGAGCAGGGGGCTGGACTAGAAGACCTTCAAGGTCCCTTCCAACTCTTTTATTCTGTTATTATAGGAAGGAAAGAAGGAAGGAAGGAAGGCAGGAGAGAAGGGAGGGAGGGAAGGAGGGAAGGAAGGAAGGAAGGAAAGAGAAGGGAGGGAGGGAAGGAAGGTCCAATAGAATTGGTGTGATCTGTTGTCTCTGTGCTTGTGATGGCCTACTTAGGGATGGGGCAAATAAAGTTGGATGTAGAAGAAAGTTACAAATAGTCCTTGCCTTACTCTTGTTTTAGTGACTGTTCAAACTTACCATGGCACTGAAAAAAAGTAACGACTTGGTCTTCGCCCTTATGACCATTGCAGCATTTCCACGGCCACGTGATCAAAATTTAGATGCTTGGCAACAGGCATGTATTTTTGATGGTTGCAGCATCTCAGGGTCACGCGATCGCAATTTATTACCTCCCCAGCTTCCAACAAATAAATTCAATGGGGGAAGTCAGGTTCGCTTAACGACCTGATGATTCACTTAACAACTGCCGTGGTTTGATTAACAACAGTGGCAAAATGATCTTAAAATCAGCCCTGACTCATTTAACAATTGCCTTGCTTAGCAATGGAAATTCAGATCCAAATTTCGGTCGTAAGTCAAAGACGACTTGCACTTTTCCAAGTTGGGGCTGGTCTTACCTGCCCATCAATCCTATTATGCTCAGTGCATTCTAAGATCTACGGTCCCTGGCATTGCATGAGGGGGCCCCAACCCCAAAATTGCAGAATGTTACGTGTATAAATGTTTCTTGTATCCCCAAAGAATTTGCAAAGTGTTTATAAACTATGGATGAGTCACTTGTGATTACTTTTGGGTGCTAAAAATGAGCCAAAGATCAACAATGAAACCATAGAAGGCAGGGAGGGCAGGTTAAATCACTAAGTTTAGAGTCTTTGGGGTTTTTCCCCTGATCCTCTTTAACACACTCTTTCTATCTTTAGGATCATTTAAATTTTTACTGCACAGCCAGCAGCCTGGGGAATTTGATCCTTTCCATTAAATGCGAAGAGGCAGATGGAATTGAATATCTACGGATTATTCTCAGGTAAAGAGAAGGCGTAAAGGAAACAGTATATATAGAAAACGAAAATGCATTGATTGGGAAAAAAACAGAGAAGAGCAACTAAGATGATCAAAGGCCTGGAGACTAAAACATACGAAGAATGGGACTTGGGTCTGGCTGTTCTGTTCTGTTCTGTTCTGTTCTGTTCTGTTCTACCTCTACCTCTACCTCTATTCTATTCTATTCTATTCTATTCTATTCTATTCTATTCTATTCTATTCTATTCTATTCTATTCTACCTCTACCTCTACCTCTACCTCTACCTCTACCCTATTCTACCCTATTCTACCCTATTCTACCCTATTCTCTTCTCTTCTACCTCTACCTCTACCTCTACTTCTACCTCTACCTCTACCTCTACCTCTACCTCTACCTCTACCTCTACCTCTATTCTATTCTATTCTATTCTATTCTATTCTATTCTATTCTATTCTATTCTATTCTATTCCATTCCATTCCATTCCATTCCGTTCTATTCCATTCCATTGTATTGAAAGTTCTGTTCATTAATTTCTCTGACAGCATTTCTGTATGAATACTTTTTAAAGAAGGGGCATAATGGCTCAGCAGTTAAAGACACTGAGCTTGTCAGCTGGAAAGCTGACAGCCCAGGTTCAAGATCTGGTGCCGCATGACGGGGGTGAGCTCCCGTTCCTTGCCCCAGCTCCTGCCCACCTCGCAGCTCGAAAGCATGCAAATACAAGTAGATCAATAGGTACCACTTTGGTGGGAAGGTGAGAGTGTTCCCCGTGCCTTTGGCCTATAGCTATGCTGGCCAGATGACCATGGAAATTGTCTTTGGATAACTCTGGTGCCCTCGGCCAAGAAATGGAGATGAGTGGGACATGATTGGACAGAGAAATCTTAACTTTTGCTGGTTGAAGTTTGTGTAGTACAGCTAAATAATTCCCGGTCAAGATCGGCCATTATGACTTGAATTCTGGGAGTTTAATCCCAACAACCTAGAGGACGTATTGTCACTGGCATTAAATTCTTACACTGAGTTGAATTATAACATTATTTATTTCTTTTTAACGGTGTCTAATACAGGTAGACCTTAACTTACATCAGTTCATTAAGTAATCATTTGAATTTACAATGGCACTGAAAAAAAGTGACTTATGACCATTTTTCACACTTATGACTATTGCAGTAGCCCCATGGTCACATGATCAAAAGGCTTGGTGACTGACTCATATGGTTGCAGTGTCCTGGAGTCATGTGATCCCCTTTTGTGACCTTCTGACAAGCAAAGTCAATGGGGAAGCCAAGGTTCACTTAACAACCGTGTTACTAACTTAAGAACTGCACTAATTCATTTAACAACTGTGGCAAGAAAGGTCATAAAATGGGGCAAAATTCACTTAACAACCATCCCACTTAGCCAGAGAAATTTTGGGCTCCATTGTGGTCATAAGTTGAGGACTAACTATATTGGAAGCCTACTGTTGTGGTTGATATATAAGGGCTCGACAGCTGTGTTAAAGCACACCAGTGCCCTATGCATATCCAACTGTAGAGTTAGAACATGACTTTCTACTATGCATTTATCCAGGGGTGGACTTAAACATGCTTCCATTAAGCTATTTGCATGACGTGTTGAATGATAAGCACACAGGCTGAATATGCCTAGTACTCCTGGTTGAGATATGGTGGGCTGGTTTGTGGTTTATTGTGTTGAGCAAACACAAGCAACAGATTTGTACATAGAAGATCCCAATCTGATCTCTGGCATTTATAGACTCGGGAAGAGCACCTCTATCAGTGATGGCGAACTTATTTATCGCAAAGTGCCAGGGCTACATGATCATTGTGGTGCCCTCAGGGGGGGTGAGGGGGCATGGACCACTGGGTGGGCATGGCTGCTGTGGTCACAGCAGACTGGGTGAGCATGGCCAGGGCCAGGGCAGCGGGGGCCAGTCCCTTGCCATCTCTGGGGCATCCCCGGGGGGCAAACGCCACTTGCTCGCTCACTTCCTGCCCTGTTGCTTCCAAACGCCACGTGCTTGCTACTCTGGCGAACACTGGTGGGGCAACAGTGCGCGTGCCCACAGAGAGGGCTCTGAGTGCCGCCTCTGGCACACATGCCATAGGTTTGCCACCACTGACCTATATGATGCATTAGTAAGACAACAACAGCCAAATAAGACTTCATATACAGTAATCTTTGACTTATGACTGGTTACTTAGTGCTTTTGGGCACTCTGCAATTGGCCCACATTTACAACTGTTTGCAGGTCCCACGGTCACAGGAGCACAATTTATGATGTTTTTGCCAGAACTGCCCCATACCAAACAATGGGTTCACTTAATGACTGTGGCATTCAACAACTGCAAAAAAAAAGTTGTAAAATTGGGGGTGGGGTCACATGGTGACCTGTTTTATAACTTTCATGACTTACAACCAAAGTTGTAGGTTCAATTATGGTTGTAAATCAAGGACTTCCTGTAAGCAATTTCTGAGACTGCAAGATCTGGAATCCACCAAGTTGCCTTCTTTTAGAATCATAGTTCTATAAAGGGACTGTTAGGTCAAGGAATCCATTCTCATCTCTCTGTGTAGGAATCCACTCTGCTTGAATACCTTAAATGAAAGGCAGGCCACCATAACTGTAGGGTCATTGGTCACTGTAGATCATCCTGGAGATACTGAAATAAGTATATTAATAGTAGGATGAAAAGATCTTCCATCTTCTCATACCTAGGGCAGTGTTTTTCCAGAATGGAACAACTTGCCACAGCCAACTTGCTGCGGCCAACACACCACAGACAACTCACCATAGGCAATTCTCTGCAGGGCAACTCACTATGGCCAACTTGCCATGGGACAACTCACTGTGGGACGATTTCACAATTCTATTTAATTACTTAAAATAAGTAAAAAATAATAATTTTTGCCATTCACATTCCTTTCTGTCCCTGCTTTTGCATCCTTTCCTCAATGAGTCTATCCCACTATTTTTTGATATTATAATAATAATAATAATAATAATAATAATGATGATGATGATGATGATGATGATGATGATGATGATGATGATGATGATGATGATAAAGTTGGAAGGGACCTTAGAGGTCATCTAGTCCAACCCCCTGCTCAGGCAGGAAACCCTATACCATTTCAGACAAATGGCTGTCCAATCTCTTCTTAAAAACTTCCAGTGTTGGAACATTCACCGCTTCTGGAGGCAGGTTGTTCCAGTGGTTAATTGTTCTCACTGTCAGGAAGTTTAGTGTAACTTGTCCTGTGCCGAGTTGGCTGCGGTGTGTTGGCCACGGCGAGGTGGCCACAGTGAGTTGGCCTTGGCAAATTGTCATAGACCTGTGTTTGTCAACCTTAGCAACTTGAAGATATGTGGACTTGTATACGTGGACGATGCTGGCTAGGGAATTCTAGGAGTTGAAGTCCACACATTCTAGGAGTTGAAGTCCACACATCCCTGAGTCCCGTAAGGGAGATAGGGCAGTATATAAATTTAATAAATAAATAAATAAATAAATCTTCAAGTTGCCAAAGTTGAGTAAACGTCTCCCTCTTAATCGGTTGACCCATGGCTTTTCCTCACCGATGCAAATCCTTGGGGGCTGTTCTCACCAGCCTTGTTCAGTGGGTTGATTTGGATTGACAACGAGATGATACTGTATATTAAAAGATGACAGCGCATCCTTGAGGACCCTTTGGGTGTGCTGAAGTTTCCATGGAGTCCAAAAGTTTTTGCTACATGAGAGAGATGAAGTGAGGACAACAGGATGTTCTGTAGCCGTTTAATGATGGATCTGAGTTTCTTTGGGTTTTAAAAATTATTTAACAGCGCTTTAAGTTTGTTCTTTGGTAATGAGTTTGGCAATGAACATTGTTTGCTTGACCTACAGTAAAGCCCAAGGAAATCAGTAGGCAAACAATCCCTTGAAAAGATATTGGAAAATATCAATTATATATAGCACCGTTTCTTCTGTCCGTAATGTCTTATCCTCTTATTCCCCCAACAAATTACTGATGTTTCAAAGGAAACGGGAACTGGAGATGGTAACCGTAACAACCATGTCCAAATGAAACCTCTCTGAAAGGTTCAAAACAATCTACCGATCTTTCGTTTTAATGGAACCTAGCGATATTGCTACACTGTCACCGCTTATGTCTGATTCTCTCTCTCTTTTGGCCTCCCATAGGTCCAAAGTAAAAACATTACACGAAAGAATCCCTTTAGCTGGACTCAGCAAGCTGCCAAACATTCCACAGATTGCAAAGGTAGGTTGCTTGGAGTGATAATCCTAACGATCGTGGTTGTGATCAATTAGTAGACTGAGATTTTAGAGGTTGGGCTTTATCATTACAGAAAGTACATCCCCCAAACATCAATGGTTGCAAGGAAAAAAAGATCACGATGGAAACAAGAATTAAACACAGACAAAAACATATAAGCTGGACAGCTTTGGCTCCAAAGGTGTCTTTGGTACAGACAGTTGAGGTGGACACCGCTGGGGTAGAGTGGTAAAAATGTGAAACTAGAAATTAGATCCATAGTAAAGAGGCAGTTCATATTTATTAGGGCAAGTTATACGTGGCTCAGTGTCTTAATGACACTGGAGATGATTTCTGCTTCAGTGGTTTGAGTCCTAGCATTGCCTGTCGGGGTGAACTCCTGTCACTCACCTCAGTTTCTGTCCACCTAACAGTTCAAAAGCATGTTCTGTGTGAGTAGATAAAATAGGTACCACTTCAGAGGGTGGAATGAGCTGTTGCTCGGTGCAGGCAGTCAGATTCCTGCCCCCTGAACCTTCCCGGTTGTGGTGCCTATTGGTGAGGCGGCTCCAGGGAGGGAGGGGGCTTTGGATGACACTGCAGGAAGAGACGCTTGTCTGTCTTTCTGGTGCAAAGCCAGATCGCCCTCTAGGGGTGCACCATGGGAAGTGCGCTAGCGTTTCCTACAACAGAACTGGTACTTTGGCAGCCAGATACTTTGTTGTTGTTGTTAGTTGCGAAGTCGTGTCCGACCCATCGCGACCCCATGGACAACGTTCCTCCAGGCCTTTCTGTCCTTTACCATCTTCTGGAGTCCATTGAAGCTCACGCCTACTGCTTCACTGACTTCATCCAGCCACCTCATTCTCTGTCGTCCCCTTCTTCTATTGCCCTCTATCTTTCCCAGCATTAGGCTCTTCTCCAGTGAGTCAAACTACTACTCATTGGGTAATGTAACAATGCCATATACTACTACTACTACATAATAATAATAATAATAATAATAATAATAATAATAATAATAATAATAATAATAATGATGATGATGATGATGATGATGATGATGATGATGATGATGATGATGATGATGATGATGATGATGATGATGATGCAAGTTATTATCATCCAAAAATAATGTATGCTGTTTAGGGTGGGGAAAATCTAGAAGAAAAGTTGCTGTCTCTCAGATCCCCACCTACCGCTTCATTGGCCTAAATCAATTCCACAATTGTGATACAACAAAGAAAGTTATTTTGCTCGTTTTGTATTATCTCTGACTTCCCCCAAAGGGGTGTTTGTAAAGGGCTGCTTGACTTTCCCCAAAGGGCTGCTATGTCTCTGGGGTCCTAAATTCTCACTCACCATTTGCTGCGTTTCTAAACAGGCCTTCTGTGACGACGCCACTGGATTAAAGTTTCACCCCGTGCTGTATCCCAAGGTAAGCTGAGCAATGATGCACAAACCTAATTCCAGAAGGAAATTCATCTGCAGATTAAACTATGCTAGAAGACTCCCAAGGTCCTTTTCAGCCCTCTGATTCTATGAACTGCACGCACACAGGTTTATCTCTGTAGAACTGAAATGCACCAATTTGTGAACGTAGGCTTCTCCGATTCTAAATATCATGGAGAGGCACGAAAATGGCCAGGAGAGAGATTTTCATCCATCTGCAGCATATGCCTCAGAATTGTCCCCTGGGATTAACGATACATTCCCTAGGCCAGGGCTTTTCAACCAGTGGTACGGGTACCACCTGTAGTACATTGGCACCTGGCAGGTGGTACGCGACCATCCTAGAAAAGTAGTGGGGGAGGGGAATGAGCTGAACCGGTGGCAGCACCGCACAAGCCTGAGCGAGAGAAGGCTGGAGCTGCAGGGCTGTCAGGGCTCAGCGGAAGCGCCAGGATCAGCGCCAGGCTCCAGTTGGAGCTTGGTGCTGATCCTGGTGCTTCTGCTGAGCCCTAAAGAAGCACCAATCAGCTGGAAAGCGGCACTGATCCTGCCGCTTCTGCTGAGCCCAGAAGAAGCGCCGATCAGCTGGAATGTTGCAGCATCTCCAGAGTCTTGTGATTTACACTCAGATGCTTGGCAACTGATTCATATTTATGACGGTCACAGTGTCCCAGGGTCATGTGAAGTGACCAAAACCTGCTGCAACCACCCAGCAGACGGGGGGAATAAAAACCAAACACCCCCCCACACCCCATCCCCGCTGCCAATCCTCAACAGAAATGCTCACAACAATGAAAACCTCGGACAGGAGGAAGAGCGCTGCTGGGAGGGCAGGCAGGTGTCTTGCTCTGCTGTGGCTTGGGGGGCACTTTTTTCAGTGCCATTGTAACTTCAAACAGTCACTAAGTGAATTGTTGTAAGTCGAGGACTATCTGTCCTTTATCACTTTTTTCCTTTTTTTTGGTCATCAAGTTTTTGACACCTTTATTTATTTATTTATTTATTATTCCAATTTGTATCCCGCCCTTCTCCCGAAGGACTCAGGGCGGCTCACAACATTATTAAAACAAAGAGAGACCCACACACCCCACCGAATAAAACCAAATTAAAACCAAAATTTTAGTGTTGTGTGATTAAAATTTCTAAAAAACCCAATTTAAAAATCCTCCCTAGGCCTAGGCGACTGGTGGTACTCGGATGTTGCCATATCCTAAAAGTGGTACAATGGGTGAAAAGGTTGAAAAGCCCTGCCCTAGGCACCTGAAAAGAGAATGCAATTAGATCAGAGTTGGGTTGATTTACCTGCTTAGTCTGACTTATTCTTGACCCCCACTCAAGAAAAAAATGAATCTGAACCTAAAAGAGCTCTGCAGGAAGAGGATGGTTATCATAAAAGCAGGCTAAAGAATCTGATAAGTGGAGTTAGTGAAAATATGGACGGCCTGGCTCTACTTTTTGCAGGTATGCAACAGAAACTAAGGACCAGCGTAAGCATTTGAATTGACAGCAGCTTTCAGGGAGATCAGACAACTAAAGATGTCGAGCAAAGTCATTTTTGAGTGCTCAGCTCTACTGATGGGATGCGATCAGAAGTTTTCAGGCCAGATATTGCAAAAGGAGAGGGTTAGAGTAGCTACAGCAAAGGATGGCATGATGATGGATAGAGAAAAGAGAGAGGCATGGTTGAGAATGGAGCAGCTTGAGAAGGAAACCTTTGTGGGGTCCTTGGTGCTTGGTAGTTTTCTTGCAGACATTTCATTACCAAACTAGGTAACGTCATCAATGCACTAATGAAATGTCTGCAGGAAAACCACCAAGCTCAGAAAGCACCAAGGACCCCACAGTTCAACCCTGAGCTACAAATATTCCTTCTATTGAAACCTTCTTTGGGCAAGGTTGGTTTGGAATGTGTCTGAAAAGCCTCGTTCCAAATAGAGGAGTCTTCGAAATGTATTCCTGGCTTTGTCCTTTTTGTTGACTGTCTTTTCTGTACTACACCTGGTGCAAGGAGCTTCAGGAAATACAGTCCTCTGAAGTTCCTCAGGTCATCCTATAGGACAGCGGTTCTCAACCTATGGGTCACGACCCCATTTGGGGTCGATCGACCATTTCACGGGGGTCGCCAAGCAAGGCTGTCCGCCATTTTTTTCCCCTTTTCCGGCGGGTGCCTTACCTCCCTTGAGCTGGGCCAGCTGGTGGTCGGCCTGCTCCGTCTCTGCCACTTGCCAGCTACGCCTCGGCCGGCGCAGGGGGCGGAACCACGCATGTGCGGTGCTCCCGGGCAGGGAAAGTCCTCGACTTACGACCGGTTTAGTCCTCGACTTACGACCGGTTTAGTCCTCAACTTATGACCGGTTGGGGTCGCGGCATTAAAAAGGTTGAGAACCACTGCTATAGGACTAGAGGCCACAGGGAATCTGTAGCTCAAATGTTCTTCAACGTTTTAGGTGATGAAGTGAGAGATGGAGCAGAAGCTTCAGAATACAGGGAAAGGGATTCAGACTTTGGTCTGTACCCGATAACAGAGAGCTTCAGTGACTGAAATTCTCACATTTTTAAGTAGGTCTATGTGCCTAGCTCTGGAATTACAGTGATTCTCCAACAGAGGCTTTTCTAAGTTAAATATTAAGAAGCGTTCCTCTGTTTTAGTTTAGTTTAGTTTAGTTTTATTAAATTTATACCCCGCCCTTCTCCCGGAGGACTCAGGGTGGCTTACAGCCAGCTTAAAAACAATAATACAATATAATACAAAATTTAAAAGTAATTAAAAATAGATATTCAATAGGCCGCTTATACTAAAAATTTTGTTAAAACCAATTTAAAATACCCCTAGGCCAGTCCTGCCCGCTGAAATAACCAAGTCTTAAGGGCGCGGCGAAAGGAGGGGAGATCCGGAATCACCCGGATC